AGAGAAGCAGGACACTAGCCTTAGGAAACGGTATCCCTAGGGACAAATGAGGTAATGGGAGACCACAGGGCATAGAGTAAGCCAGTGCCTGGAGCGAAGCCATGCCTGTGCCTACGGTCCTGAGGAGGTGGTGACGCTGATTAAAAGTGAAGCGAAAAGAAGTTGAATAAGTCTTTCTTTGCTGCCAAGGAGCCAGGGCCTCAGTCGTAACTGACACAGCTGATGTCTGTCCCGCAGGATGGTGGCCTAGCGTCTGCCAGGGACCACACCCACAGGCACCAAGGGGCAACTGCTTCCTCAGGTCCACCCTGAAGACAGGAAACTCGGAATCACAAAAGTAAGCTGCCCAAGGTCACAGAACCATGAGTGAGGACCTAAATCCAAGCCTCTGGATGAAGACATAGTTTTGATCTTTGCTTGGCTGGCCAGTGTCACGTGGGCCATGGGCCATATGAGAGAGGATGAAAACTGGCCCCTTGGGGACCATTAGAGCCAGGAAGGAGCAATCTGCTGGGCCAAGGCCCTGGCCACTGGTTCTGTACTAGGTGCAATTCCCCAGGTCACTGAGGCTAGGCTGGCAACAGGACAGGAATTCATCAGCATTCGCAAGTGGGACCCTCGGGAAGCTGCACATCCAGGACTCCCGCTGCCTGGTAGCACCCAGCAAGTTGGGAAGTCGGAGGGAGCAACTGCCATGCTCTTCCAGAACGCTCTACCTTGAGGTCGCCCTTCAGTCCCTCATGACCATGTGCCACTGTAGAGGACACAGCCACACATGTGCACCGTGGCCTTCCTCCAAGTGCATCCGAGCATGAGCAGCAGTCTCAACAGCTCAGCTCAGGTGTTTGTGAAGACGTGCCTGGCGCTGCCTGCCCCACCAGCAGCTGTCACCGGACAAGAGGCAATCAAGCCTGTTCAAGGCCAGTGACTCCCAGAGTGCTACACCAAGACGACTGTCTCCACACCCCTCAGGAGCTTCGCAGGCCTGCAGACAGCAGGGTGCCCACCCCACCCACTCTGTGACCCAGGCCCCATCTGCTGGGCAGAGCTGGAAGTCTAATTTCAGGCCATCTGCCATGTGGGAGACCACAGCTTCCCACCTACAGACGAGGAGATGCACAACAGCCCGCCTCTCTGTGCTCCTTGCCAGTGCCTGTTTTCAACAAAGCGAATAAAACCCAAGTGCGCAGACTCAGATGCAGTACGCTTGTGAGCATACTGAACCCTTTGATTTCCCCTGGGTCTAGCTTTGGGGCAAATGTATTCTGTAGAAAGCTGGAAGGAGAATGTCTTAAACTTTGGGCCCCACCATCCTACACAACTACTCAGCTCAGCTTCCACAGCTTGGATGAAGCATACTCTGTATGAAACACTAAGCTGGACCACGCTCCAGTAGAACCTTACTTACAAAATTCGCTGTAAGAGGATTTAGTCGTAGAGCCTTCATTTGCTGACCCCTAATGTAGCAGGATGCTGCTCTGCCCCATCTAATGAAAAGAACTTTCTCCTGCGATCTTAAGATCTCAGGTCTAAGTAGACTTTTTCCTTGTCACTCTTCAGGGGAGGCAGGTATCCCCCAGCCCCTAACAGTGCCTCTGCTTCCTGCCAGAGCCCGTCTCCTGCCCCAACTCCCTGAGCACACCCGACTCAGTGCCACCTGCCTGCTTAGACCAGAGCTGCATGCCTGCTCTTCAGCTGGGCATCTTCTGAGCACAGGAAGCCCCAGATACACCAAAGAAGGCTGTGCAAATGTCCCTCTGCCTGGAAGCACTGGGCAGGGCTGGGCTCAGCAGGAGCCCGGAGGAAACCTCACAAGGAAGAAGTTCGCCCCTTGGTGACAAGAATTGTCGTCAGTGCACAGGGAGCTCCTGCTTGGTGATGCCTTGGAAGAACAGGAAGCGATTTCTTTCAAGAGAAGTAGGAAGAGGCCTCTGCTCATCCTCAGGACCTAGGGAAGTCTATGGCACCAGGCTTTTGCTGGAGTCTTCTCTGCCCTCGTTGCCTGCCACGTGAAGCAGAGGACCTGCCTCCTGGGAAACCCATTCCCTGTTCACCTCATCTGCCTAAACCCTTCTCTTTAGAGGGTCCATGTCCCCCATAGGACCTTCTCTGGGAGAAACCCATCACCACATCGAAGCAATGACTCCCAAGCACTGGGCCAACTCAGCCCTTCCTTCTCCCAGTTTGTGGGTGTGTTGCAGGTATGTGTGCTGCGCCCCAGGCCAGTGCTCTGACCTCACTCCTGCGTCCTGCTCTGTGTCTGGCGAGTGCATTGCAGAGGACCAGGGCACTTTCTGCCATTCTCATCATGTGTTTCCAGTGCATGCGGAGCACTAGGCATCAAGCAGGTCTGCAAACAAACCAGGGAGTCAGCTAGCCCACCCTCCTGTTGTTGACCAGCTTCCTTTGTTAGACCACAAGGTCTTGAGATGAAAATTGAGTCTTGCATGACTTGCGCATGATTGTTTACATATCCACTACCTCAGACTAGTTACAGCACCATGTAGGGGCCAATGAGAAGGCGGATGCCACAGTCCACCCCTTCCCAAGTGAGAATCTCTTTCCAACAAGGTCCCTGGATTCACTGTGTTCTGAGGTCTGAGAAACTCACATCTGTGGCTGCTCAGTGAGCATGGATGTCTTAGTTATTTTTCTCATTGCTAAGATAAAATAGGTAGATAAGATAAATAAGATAAGATAAAACAGGTAGCTAAGATAAATAAGGTAGAGTGACATCTCAAGAGAAACAGTCCATGGTAGGCAGGAGGCAGCAAGCAAAGAAGCAAGCCTCCCTTTCCCTTTTATGCCGTCCAGGCAACATGCCTTTTGTGTGGTACCACCCACAACTAGGGTGGGGTTTCCCATTCTCCATACCCAGACCTATAATAAACCAATTAGTGGACTAATCAAGTACCACATACCCGCCAATCCCAACATCACATCCTCATTCTACGTTCACACACCCTAATCTAGTCACCTCCAAGAAGTCCCACCTGTAACCGTGGGAGGCTTAGGGGGCCATCTAGATACAACCCACAACAGTGGGGAAGACTTGGCACACAGGCAGCTAAATCACATCAATGCCAACACAGTATAGCGCACCAAAGGTATCAGAGGCCTTGTGGTCAACCATACCAACAGTGATGATGTCCCCATAGTGGGCCACGTCCTGGTTGGTCACAGCGGATGCTAGAGAACAGGCAGGACACCTGGTGAGCAATAGCACCTTGGTGCCATGCAGGGCCCAGCACAGAAGACCACAGTCGCTATTGGAACCTAATTCTTTGTTGCTCAGAACACGGGAAAAGGCACAGCCCCTGCTGCTCAGGCATCCGAATTCCATCCTTCCTCACCCAGTGTCCCGCTGTGGAGCCTGCACGTGCCCTGGTTCTTACTGATGCACCACCAAGTTCCTTCCCACCTGAACCGTCTGAGTCTCTCCCCAGTGACGTTAACCTACTGTACTCACTTGAGACTCATCGTAGAACAAATTTCTTTTGTAAATTCTCCTGAGACTTATCAGACCGTTTTTAGTGGATGACGCTGTTTTTTGCTACACCCAGGACTATAAGTGAAGATAGCTATCATTTGCTAGATGATACTGCTACATGCAACCTACGCCCAGACATGCTCCTGCGATAATGATACTATAAGTGAAGATAGCTAGGTAACCCAGGGTCACGAATCCTCCCCTAAATAATGGCAGAGGATGTCTCAAGAGGACAGAGGACATCCTACCAGGAGCGCTCCTGCCCCATGCAAACTCTTATTCTAGGTGGTCACTTTCTCTCTCACTCTGAAGGACTGCTTCTGAGAAGCAATAGGAAACCAACAGACCGTTAAAAAAAAAACACATACAACCCATCCCGAACACTTCCCGTGTCCTAAAAATACAGCCTATTCCTGCAGCAGCTATTTTGGGACAAGGCAACAAAGTGCTTCCTCCAGATGAAAAGGCCCCATAGCTCCACAAACAGGATCCTGGGCTAGACTTGGTGGGAATGGAGGCCAAGGACACGGGCCCTGACCAGACGCGCCGACGCCAGCCCAGGCTTGCATAGCAGAGCTGTGCATCCCAAAGGGCCGTCTTTCTGGGGAGCAAGCGATTTTGTTTTCTTATTTCTATTTTGTTTCTAAATTCAAACTAACTTGGGAAAGGCAGGAGGAACACACCAGGATGGGGAAGGGAGAATTAGCAAACCATGGCATCTGCAGCAGGGAGAGCTTGCTGTCTGCACCCTGTCTAGGGTGAACCTTGCCAGGCTCCTGCGATCTGGATAACCCATTCCCTTTGGGGCTCGGGTTGAGGTCCCAAGCCACCCAGCATCAGTGAGGGGGAACCAGACAGGCCTCGGGTGGTCCTGTCCCCGCATGCTCTCTGGGGGAATGTGGCCTGGTTCCTGCAGTGGAGGAGACGCCATGGGGAAGAGAAGCCTGCTCCAGGCCGGCGCCTGATGTTCCCGTGCGGTCTCATCCTCCCACACAGCTCCTGTGAACTGCACCAGGCAGGCATCGAGGAAGGCGGGCTCCACTGAGGAAGGCAACCAGACATGCAACAACGGGGTCCTGCAATGACCCTGACATCTCCCTCTCCTTGAAGTTCCACAGCCAGCCAAGAACCCTCCACACATTATTTACTAGTGATTGGCTCCCCTTCCACCCACAAGACTCCCCGGAAAATGCTGAGTACTTCCCTGTAAAGTCATAACCACTGGGGGATGGGATCTTTGAGTTCTTCAAGTACCGCTGTACCTTAGGTCAGATAACCAGACCATGTGGGTGTCTTCTTAGCATGGCCAGGATGGAAGCAGGCACCTGTCCACATAGAGGAGCAGGGGTAGGCTCAGCCCTCATGGGGACACTAGGGCAGTCACCACCTCCTGTCACAGTTCTGGGGACCCAGCCAGTCCCCCTCGGCCTCTCGTCATTGGGTGTACCTGGAGCGCGAGGAAAACTTGGCAGGGAAGGTGTGAGGGCCATCTCCCACCAATCCAGCTCACCTTGTCCACATCCGGGAAGTTTCCCTTCATTTAAAAACCAGGCAAAAGGCAGGGCCACAGCCATCTCCAGGACCACAGAGGACAAGGGCACAAGCCCAGCAGCCACCCGCTGAAGCCTCGACCCAGTGTCTCCAGTTCTTCCTCACGCTCCCTGAGCCAGAGGAGATGAGATTCACTCACCATGAACCAGTGTAAATGGAAACTCACTCACCAAGCATCAGTATAAAAAACTGACTAACCTTGACCCAATGCCAGTGGAATCTCACTCACCTTAAGCCAGTGTAGAAAACTCAGTCACCTTGTAGACATGACTCACTACCCTGAGCCGGTGGCGCTGGGCCAGGAGGATCCCTCTCACTGTCCTCAGGCCACTCCCAAGGGCCAGTGTGTGGAGAGGGCAGGTGGGAAGCAGCTGCTGGGTGAGAAGTCCAGTCTGCAATAAATACCACACAGAGCGTCTGCACCGCTCTGGCGAGGCACTGGGGACCTCCAGAATGTTCCATGACATCATCTCCATAATCCTCAGCATGCAGTGAAGACGGACTGGCTGAGAAGTGGGCAGGTGAAGGTGGGGATTGGGTCCTGCCTTCAGTGATTCCCCATCTGCCAAGCTCCTCCCACTGGAGTCACCTCCTGGCCACTGCTGAGGATAGTAGAGATGACACAGGGAATTGGGGAGGGGAGATGTCCAACCATCTTGTATAGAATGCAAAATCCACTACTGTGGTGTTCTTTTACCTCCAGCTCTGTCTCACTGTGAACATTTGGTAGTGACGTGCACACAATAGCGGCAAGACGGAAATGCTCACTAGGAAGGGAGCCCAGGGCTCCTCCTGTCCCCACTTCCCCACAGGACTGGGACGCTCGCAGTGCCCTCCCCTTAGTGGCCATAGACAGGAAGCTTTTAACATGCACTTTGGGCCAGGCGTGGTGGTGCATGCTTGTAATCCCAGCACTAGGAAGGCTGAGGCAGGAGGATTGCCTAGAGTTCAAGGCCAGCCTGGGCACATAGTGAGCTCAAGGTCAACCTGAACTACAAAGTGAGACCCTGTCTCCAAAAAAAGCTGTATACTTCACATTTCCAGTTTAAGGATTTGCTTTTCTCTCTGAGGCCTCAATTGTGAAATGAACAGAAGCCTGGAAGTTTTTCACAGAGAAAAGTATTTAAGAAAAATTCCAAGGGTGACAAATTCCCCTAAGGCAAAGCCACTTCCCAGCTGAGCAGAGCACCCTGTGAGTAGCAGGAAGTGAATGCCTTATAATGCACCCTTGCCCAGAGAACAGATTGCCCAATCACTGCCTGAAAGGTTACAGTGTGCAAAAGCTTCTGGGCAAACAGGAGAGAAAATCACGGCCATCTCGAGTGTGCTGAGAAGTAAAACTCCAGGGCTGGTGGACAGCTCCAGGCACGCAGGAGACCACTGGGAAGCAGACACGAGGACTCTCGGGGGAGAAGGTACAGAGGTGGTGTGAACAGGAAGCACCATGGACCTGTGCGTCCACTGTGGCTTTCTGCTAGGGACGGGACCCACGGGGCTGTCCCGCACCCTTTCCTCCTCCCTGCTGCCGGGCAGGGCTGGGGCTCCTTGGGTAGGTGTTCTTGCTGTCCCTGGGAGAAACAGAAGTTGGCTGCTCCCCTTGCTTAGCTGTCTGCAGGTAAGAAAGGGTTTTGTTTCACTGATTGAAGTACTTAGATAAAAGAGACCATAACCAGCCAGACACATAGCTTAAATATTGCATAGCTTCTCTTATATGAGAAACCCAAGGTGTAAATAATTCAAAGAGCAGAAGAAAGACACACAATAGGGAAGAGGAATCTTTAGTGAATAAGGGAGATGGAAGGGAAAGGGAATAAAAAGTTGTGTACACGTACCTTCTCCGAACCATGAGCGCCATCATTGTGTACCTCAAACATGTACTCTGAAAATGAGTAATTAAGAATCTAGAAGCCAGAGCGCCCCTCAGCTTGCTCCTCTGCAACCCAAGCACGGCTTCATCCACACCCCAGCATGTCTGGAGTACCGGCCTCATAAGATGGCGACGCACATGCGCAGGGCGCATCTCAGATATCCAAGTACTTCTGACCTCCCACCGTGTGGAGGCCCAGCCCTTCCTGCCAAGGCCGTTCCCAGCCAGTGCCAACTCCAAGGCTCCCCGCTGTAGCCAGTGCCCAGTTCCCACCTGTCACCCCTGCAAGCCTGCTTTCCTGAGGCTCCTCTGTCCCTGACCTCCTGTGCCTCCTCTTGTTGCTGATCCCTGCAGCCCGGGGTAGGTAGATTTTGGATCAGCCTCCAAGTGCACACTTTCTGCAGGAAGTTACCCACGGATGACATCCTCTTCCCACTCCTGGAACGGGAGAGGCCCACACCCCACAGTGAGCCAGAATGGAGGTGCTGCTCGCCCAGACTCAGCACAGACCCTGGGAAAGCGCTGCGCCCACCAGCTGCCACAAAGGCCACAGCTGAGGGCCCCGTGGCCTCCTCTGCCTAACCTGCAGGTGGCTTTGCGTTTTCCCACCTTTCACTGAGGTGTCATTTACACACAGCCAGTGTGCAGAGCGCAGGGCACAGCGAGAGAACCTTGGCGGAGGAGCCCAGGCAAGAGCAAGGACCATGAGCACCGGCCCCTCGGAGCCCCATCCCTCCCTGGGAACAGGCGAGGACCTTCCTTCAGAAATGCTCCATTTGTATTAAATCCCCATCACGGTCATCTTGGAGCCACTTACATTTGCTCCCTGTCCATTGTCCGCAGGCGGGAGCCCCCATTGGTTATGTTTTGGGCCTGTTTTGGCTGAAGTCTGCATGGGGAAAGGCTGGTCACAATGGAAACAACAGACTGTGAACACCGCATCCACTAAGGTCAACCCCCCTGGGAGGCAGGGGCTGTGTTCCCTAAAGCAGGAACTTCATGGCTGCCGGCCATCCACTTTCTGTCCACCTCCTCTTCACAGAGCAGCTGAGCTCCTGTGTGGCCAGCTCAGAGTTTGAAGGATGCGGCCTAAACTCTCATCGATTTATCAGAGCCGGTGCAGGGCTCCTTCCCCGCCTCAGAGCAGGTCTCTAGGTCTCAGGGAAGCCTGTGAGCCAGCAGAGACCCTTTCCATCCTAGCGTCTGTGGTAATGGTGGCTGGAGGCAGACAGAAGGGGCCGTGGGCTCCCAAGGCCTCGCTCAGAATGCCCCAGTGGGCCATCTCCACCGGACACCATCGCACTGTGCTCCCCACCCTCCCTCCTCCTGGCTCTTCAGAAGCTCCAGGGTCCTCCAGCAGACAGGAGTCCTGCGGATTACTCATCTCCATAACCCAGTGGCAGGAAAAACGAAGCTGGAAGACACAGCCAAGGGAAGGGAGGCATGCCGCAGGACGCGGCGACCGTCCTCTGCCTCCTCCGCCAGAGGTGCCATGGTTCACTGTGGGTCCTCCTGTGCCTGCCCTGTGGCACCGCCACTCCTGCGTTCAGGAAGCTGGGAGAATGTCCCTGCGCTTGCGCCCATGTACACCTTGAGCAGACCTGCTGCAGACAGGACACACCACCCGGCAGCCCTGCAACGGCACGTTCTAGACCCCACCTACCACGCCCACACCCTCAAGGGCCTAGGTCCTTCCAGGGAGGACAGACGGGTGTGGGGCTCCCGCAGTCAGTCCCCTTCCTGAGCCGCGATCTTTCGAGCTGGCTGAGACCGCGGTGTGTTCTCATGCTGGGGCCTGGGACCAGCAGGGTTCTCCCCAGCCGCAGGCCACCGCCAACACTGAGCAGCAGCGGGCGAGCAGGACCTGCGGCTCAGCCGCTCCCTCCCTCCCTCCCTCCGTCTCCCTTGGGCCACAGATCCCTCAGGTGCCACATCCGGTGTTGCTTGCCTCCGCGGTAACACGCCTTACACCCTGCCCTGCACCCAGTCACCTGTCACTCGAGCAAACAGCAACATCCTGGCCCCATACACGAGACCTTGGCTGGGAACGTCTTGAGCTCTCTGGGTCCGTGCCCTCCCTGACAAAGTAGAGCGGTCGCACCGATCAGAGACCTTGGTAATTTTTGCAGTCACAGAAGCCTTTATTTAACTGAAATTCTACTTTGGATCCCTATAAAAGAGAGCTGTTCCCTGAGCCCCGGGACAGTTTCCTCACCAAAGCACAGGCTGGGGTAGCCCTGGGCAGGCTGGGGTAGCCCCGGGCAGGCTGGGGTAGCCCTGGGCAGGCTGGGGTAGCCCTGGGCAGGCTGGGGTAGCCCCGGGCAGGCTGGCCCTCAAGATGCCCCGCTGCCTTCAGGAGGAGATGTGCTGGCCTTGCAGGGACTCGGTCTCCCGTGGACACAGCACTTGCTTTAAAGCAGCACGCAAGGCTCTCTGGCCTCATTTTTCTCCCTAAAAGTGGGTCTGACCAGGCCGGCCATCTGAGATCAAAGCCCTTCCTGCCTGTGAGCAAGCCTCGGCCTCCTAATGCACAGGAGACGGTCCTGGAGGTCACAGGCCCGGGCCCCACAGAGTCCGCAGAGAGATGCTGTGGAAGAGGAAAGAAAGGGACAGCGGTGGCTGCTGGGCTCTGCACCACAAACACCCATGGAGACAGAAAGGCGGGGAGAGACGCACAGCTATTTCGGGACCCAAGGGCTTATAACCACAACTGCCGGCTCAGACGGCTAATTCGGAGTGTGCGGGGCTGGCTGGGAAACTCACTGAAGTGTGGGATCCACTTCTAATCAAGACACAGGATCAGAGACACGCGGTCTGCCCCTCAGGAGCATAAGACCATATTTGGGGGAAACGATTATATGCTCAGGACGGAATCTTAAACCCAAAGAATGAGAAACCAGCTTGAAGGCCATGACAAAGCAAGGGCTAATTTGGTCCCAAAGTTCAGGAACTTGGGTATTCATTTCAGAAGAAAATCCTCCCCTCGGTGTTCCTATAGAAAGCCTGGTACCCACCCAGGACGGCCAGCAGCTGACCTGAGCAAGGGAGACTGCATCGTGGGGGGTGTGGGAGGCTCCCCATGTCCTAGCCCATGCTGACCTCGCAGGAGGCCACAGGATGTGAGTACCAGGCCTAGCAGGTGCTGGGAAGGGTCCTGAGGACTCTTCTGCCCAGGCCTCCCCGACTGCACCCACAGCTAACCCCTGACTCTGAGCCAAGACCTCCCACCTGGCCCTCAGCCCTCCGCACTGAGGGGAGCCAA